TAAATTCACCAAACAAATTCCTATACATATAAGAATTTTTACTTTATTTACAAGCCTTTTACAACAATAGTTTTATGTAACATTGAGATAATGTTCATACTTTATTATTAACACTTTTTAGAAGCATTGATAAGTTTTTAATATTTATTATTAATTTTTATATTGTTATAAATTTAGGAATAAATAGTTTTAGTTAAAAGATTTCTTCTGAAATTATATCACTTATAATTCATACTTTTGTTATTTAAACATTTTTTACTTTTTTTTAAATTAATATTTTAAAATAAAAATCATTCACAATACATGTAGCTCATATTTCTAATATTGAAAAATAGAATTCTTTATATATGAAGCAAGAATACTATCATAATTAAATTAATTTTAAACTTTTTTTAAGTTTTTCTTTATGAAAAATCTTAATATTTTTTTTATGTATTATTTAAAAATTAAAAATTTACAAATATATACAACTCCTTTTTTCCATGAAGAGGACAAACTAACTACAGTAGACGGGAAGACGGGCAGTGGGTCATTCCTCCGGCATCCGAGGAATCCGAACGAGCAAGGGGAGATGGCGGTTATCTCCTCAATCTCCCATTCATATCTCTTCCTTGGCTCCATGGATTCCAACAAATTACGGCATAATCACAGATCAATGTATGTTTCTCTTCAAGGCCGCTTCTTTCGAAACCCTAGGTCGTCCGAGCTTGTTGTATTAATGTCAGGCAGCGGGACCAATGGAAGCGGGGACATTAAGGAAGAAGGAGTAGCCGGCGATGCTCCGGGAGAACTGAAGAGAGATCGTTTGCCGGCATTCAATCTCCGGTGGTGGGATCTCCTGAACCCTGACCCGGAGAACATCCTGTCCGTCGGATTGACGGGCTTGCTCATTTGGGCAAGCGTTCAGGTTCTGTGGCAACTATTCATCGTCTCGTTCGCCATCGTCCTTGCGGCGCTAAAGTACTCCTTCATCGCTGCTGTGCTTCTACTCATTCTGTTAACCCTGCTCTGATCCACTTATATTTGTATGAGTTTATAGTTTTAATGAATTTGTAGAAAAATAATGGGAATGGGAAGTTTTTCTGCCATGTTGAAAATTCTGTTTCATATCAAGTTAATGAAAAGAGTAAAAATCAATAAATTGTTTTGAATTCATCTGTTTTTTTGTTTGATACGGCAAAAAGTTTTTTTTTTTTTTGTTGGATTAAGTTAGCAATCAAGAGCTGATGCTAATCCGAGCTTAAAAATGAATACATATTTATTCCTCATCAAAGTGCTTAATCCAAATGATCGATTGAGCAGGACTTGGTAGGGGAAAGCTGAAGTTCTTATATTTTGAATAACGAGCATGGAAATTTCTTATATGTTGCAAATGCTTTGGAAGGGCTGTTTAATTATCTCTTTTGCGTTCAGTTCGTGCTGCTTGTCTGTTGTTCTACACTTTTACCATTGAGCTATTACCATTACTAGTTTAGCTGTAAAGGAAAATAACCAATCTCTAACATAATAACAGATGTGCTGTAAGTAACCAACTGTATTGGTTATGATAGTCTGGGAATCACCTATATTGGTTCCAGTATGTACTTTGCTTCCTATATGTAACTAATGGGTTTGAGAAGATGTAACTGGGCATGAGTTTTAGTAAAAGCATTCTTTGATTTCTGGCATCTGTCTTCCTGTTTCTCTCTGCTTCTTTAATTCCCATTCTTCATGGCATCAGAGCTAGGTGTTCATGTATTTTCGGGCAATCCTGGACATCATTCAAACCATTAAAAAATCCCTCTCGACTATCACTTTCTTCTTCACCGTAGAAGACACCCAAATCTCTAATTCAGGTTTCTGATTTCAATATTCTGCTAAGTCTGCTTTCTTTTCTGGATATTACCTGAATTTTGCATTCTCTAAGGCTTTAGATGGCTGACTCAGACATCTGAAACACAGAGACAATCATCGTTAGAAACCATACAATCTATGTCAATCGCACCTGCATTCAAGTTTTTCACGACTAATATCTGAAATCTTTCTCAAATTCAATTTTCTGCTGAATACTATCTCCTTTGGAACGCTCAAATACAAAAAATATTCACAGAAAATGATTTCTTGGGATTCCCTGCTGTTAGTAATTCATGCTCACCCAAATTCCTTCTAGACACCGCAGCATCTCCTTCTCTTAATCCACAATATACCATTTGACACCTTAAAGATCAAATCCTAACAACAGCCCTATTTTCCACAATTTCATCAACTATTTTAACTTATATCCTGAATGTATCTACAACTTCTGAAATTTGGATGACCTTATCTAAAATACTTCAGTCAACTAATAGGTCTCACCTTATACAACTCAAGAACGAGCCGCATAAAATTTCTATAAAAACCCAAATTATGATCCAATAACCATCCAATAACTATCATCCATCGAAGCTCTTATAGATAATATTACCACTGCAGGTGACAAATTGATCAAGAGGATATTACCCTCTATACACTCAATGGATTGCCACTTCAATATCAAGCATTCAAAACCACTATCAGGACAAAAATACAACCAATTCACTTGGAAGACTTTTATTCGCTGCTTTTGCAGTGAAGAATGGAACCTTGCCTGTTGCTGCCTCAAATTGGAAGCATATCTCAATCCTTAATTCGCTCTACAAATGACAAGGGGCCGCAATCTGAGAGACCTCCCGTTGAAGAGGCGGTCGTAATAATTCCAATTTCACAACCGTATGTCAAATCTGCAGTGGGAGTAGTCATTCTGTATCTACCTACTGGCATTGAACCAATTGAAACTATACAGCTACTCTTAATCAACTATTGGCTGCTAATGCCTCTAATTGGGTATTGGCTCTGGTACTGCTTCACATCTTACATCAAATTTGAACAATCTGCACATAGCTACACCCACAAATGGCGCTGAACAAGTTCTTTCCATGAATGGACAACGAGTTCAGGCTCAACATGCAAGTGATGGAATCTTACCAACTCCTACCCGTAAGCTGCTACTTCAAGATATTTGGCATGCGCCGCACCCTTGCTATCTAATAATCCACTCTCAGTTCACAAGTTTACTCAGGATAATGAAGTGCTGTACTTTTTTATTCCACTGGCTTTACTATACTTGATGCACAGACTCGCAAACCATTGCTCCTGAGCCCCATTCTGATGGCTTATGTCCAATCAATTTAAAACACAAGGTCATCAACCTTTTGCTTATAACTTCGATCTTATGGCTTCAGCACACGGGTCAATGATATGGCACCGAAGACTTGGACGTCCTAGCCAAGAGATTGTTTTTCACGCCCTGCTCAAAGAAAATCCAGCTTTAGGAATATGATCTCGAACTCAATGCCGTTATAGTTGCATTATTAGTCGAAGTCTCAAACAACCGTTTGGTTACACTTTGTCGGCGCTTTAAAAGGGGGAGAGAGTTAATGTT